ATGTTCAACATCCCTAGCCATAAAAGAAATGTAAATCAAAACAACATTGAGATACCACCTCACCCCAGTTAGAAAGGCAAAAATCAAGAACTCTAACAACAACAGATGCTGGAGGGGATGTGGACAGAAAGGAACCTTACTTCATTATTGGTGGGAGTGTAAACTTGTTCAACCAAGGCTGAGTTTTGATGGGTTCTGTCTGCCTGCCTTTCTGCTAATCACCTTTGTGAAGGCCTCCATGAGTTGTCTCACTTGGCCCTGCCCCCACAGGGGGCCAGGTGGCTCCTTCCAGCTAGTTGTTGAGACTCCACTAGTAAGGACTTCCTAGTGCAAGTAACAGGAAATGCAACCCAAATTGGCTTAAGGAAAGAAGAGAATGGAGCGGTTGGAGGTATGACTCAAGTGGTAGGGTGCCTAAAGCATCAGATAGCCAGTTTGAGTTTGTGGGAGGGGAGAGGGGAGAGGGGGAGAGGGGAGAGAGGAGAGAAAGGGGAAAAGGAAAGGGGAGGAAATAGAGAGGAAAAAAATGGATTGGCTGTGACCCAGAAGGCTAGACCATGTGGAAAAAATGTACTGAAAAAGGAAGGGTGTTTTCTCAGGAGAAATCTGAGCACAGTCACCCCAAGTGCCTTCTGAATGTAGTTCCTGCCTATGTTTCTTAGTTTCTCATTGAACTACTTCTATGGAATCGGATACAGATTTTTTTGCACTTGATGTGAAAAAGAGGTGTTAGGGTTTCCTGTTGGGCAGAGGTGTAAACCTTCAGAACAGTTTTGCTCTGTGTTTTTTTTTTCCTATTTTTTAAATTTGTTATTATAAAGGTGATGTACAGAGAGTTTACCATTACATAAGTCAGGTAAGGAGTACTTTTTTTTAAGGATTTAAAAATTTTTATTTTTATTTTTTGTTGGTGGGGCTTGAACTCAAGGCCTGTGTGCTATCCCTGCATGCTACTCAAGGCTAGTGTTCTACCACTTTGAGCTGCAGCTACACTTCTAGATTTCTGGTCATTAATGGGAGAAAAAAAGTTTTACAGACTTTCTTTCATAGGTTGGCTTGGAAGCACAATCCTCAGATCTCAACCTCAGTACCTAGGATTACAGATGTGAGCCACCAGCACCAGCCTGAGTGCACATTTATTTATTTGTCTGTTTGTTTGTTTATTGGTCATGTGGCTTAAACTTTGGGCCTGGATGCTGTCCCTGAGCTTTTCTGTTCCAGGCTAGTGCTCTAACACTTTGAGCCACTGCGTCACTTCTGGCTTTCTAGAGTCTAATTGGAGATAAGTGTCTAATGGACTTTCCTGCCCAGGATGGCTTTGAACCTCAATCCTCATATCTCAGCCTTCTGAGAAGCTAGGATTACAGGATTACAGGTGTCAGCCACCAGTGCCCAGTGAAAGTACATTTCTTTTTTCTTTTTTTTTTTTTTTAGGTCCAGTCGTGGGGCCTGAACTCTGGGCCTGGGCGCTGTCCCTCAGCTCTT